AAGGTGATGGGGACAATTTTATGTGTTGCTGGAGCTGTTGCAATGGCATTAATTAAAGGGCCAAAGTTATTAAATTCAGAATTTATTCCCACAAATGAATTGTTAATTCTTGGCAAAGAAAATAGTGAGAATTTGAATAATTGGATGCTAGGTGTTATCTTGCTCATTGCAAGTGCTTGTTGCTGGTCATTTTGGCTCATTTTACAGGTATTTTATTATCTCTTAAAATTCCTGGTAACGAGCGTTTTTCCACTTTAATGAGGTTTACGCAGTTTAAATCCTGCTTAGTCGGGCTAATAAATTTCGAATATTGAATACATATAAAGTTCAAAGGAAACATTCCTTATTTTTAACATAATGATAAATCAATTTAAAAGGAAGTTGAATGATCACTTTAACCCTATCTGGAAAATGTTAAATAAAAAATTCTTTCAGTTTGAAAATATATTGTTTTTCAAATTTGGATGTTTACTTATTTTATTTTTTTGAAAAGGGAGTCAAGGTATGCTTCAACCAAAACACCCAAAAAAAAACAATGATTTTTTCAAGAATTCCTTAATATATTAAAACTAGAAATTTCACACTATTTCTTTTACACTATAAAGTCACTTAAACATAAAAAAATAATCTCGGTTAACAGTTCATAATAAGTGAAATTAATAACTTAGAAGTTAAAGCTGTCGCAATAGTTAAATTATATTGATAGTGTAAAAAAATTTACGCTCGCCAGTGTATATAACTTAATCCCAATTTTAGTGCCCGTTTGGACATAAAATTTGATGGAAGATTTTTCCAGAAAATTTTTACTTTTTTCGAAATCAGCATTTGTTCATGAAATTTCCAATTTTCACTTGAATATGCATTTTGGAGATTTTCGAAAATTTGAAAAACTGCAAAAAGTTGTTTTTCAAAATTTTCACTTAAATCACTCACAAAACTTCAAAAACAACCCAAACTGAAATTTATGTCCAAACACAACTCTAAATTTCAAATACCATTTTCACTTGAAAATATTTTTCACCACTTTTTTCGAATTTTACATTTCTTATGTCCAAACGCCTACTTAATTTTCTAATTAAGTTGCTAATTAATAGGATATTGTGAAACAGGTAACGTTGTCAGCAGATTGCCCTGATCATCTATCTTTAACAGCCTGGTTATGCCTTATGGCTGCAATACAATCTGCAATTGTCACATTCTTCTTTGAGCCTGATTTGAATAGCTGGAAAATAACTTCATCACTGGAATTCATTTCTATCTTCTATACTGTAAGTATTTTTTTTTTCTTTCTTCTTTTTTCTTTTGGGTGTTACAATTTACAATTGAAAATAATAGAAGGGAATCTTGGAGTAACGGTAAAATTGTCTCCATTTGACCTATAGGTCAGGATTTCGAACCGTGGAATCAACCATTTGACTCTTGCGTCAGGGTAGGCTGCCTACATAACACCACTTTCGGTCGTCAGCCTTTCCCGAACCCTGCATGAACATAGAGTGTTTCGTGCACGAAGTGTCTCGCGTTCACGCAAGGTCCAGGCTAGGGCTGCACTACAAGAGGGTGTGATGTAGAAAGCCTACTTAATGCCATTTGACCTATAGATCAGGGGTTCGATCCATGGGTTCAACCATGTGATTCTTGCGTCTGAGTAGGCTGCCTACCTTACATCCCTTTGAGGTTCGGCCCTTTTCCGAATACTGCATGAACACAGAATATTTCGTGGACGAAGTATCTCGCATTCACATAAGGTTCGGAAAAGGGTTGCACTATGAGAGAATGTGATGTAGGAAACCTACTTAAAGCAGGCGTTATTGGCTGATCCATAGCTCGAACTCGTGACTTATAGGTCAGTCGGAGGCAACTTTACTGTTGTTCCGAGGCTCCCGGCCCCTTTATATTACAAATTACAATTGAAGATAATAATTAAAATCTTGTTAAATTTTTACTAATTAATTGGACATTTTGAATTATTATAAACAGGGATTTTCATCAGCTGTTTCTTTCTTTGGGCAAGCTTGGTGTATTTCACGTAGAGGACCATTATTTTCTGCTATGTTCAATCCTTTATGCACAGTTATAGTAACAATCTTTGCCTCAGCATTTATGCAAGAAGAGATGTACACTGGAAGGTAAATTACTAAAATCATCTTCACTTACTATATTGGTTTTGTCATTTAATTTTTTACTATCTTTTTTTGAAAATCCCAGATTGGAAAATCAATTTTTAACATTTACTACCTCCCATCCATATTATTCGCTTTAAAAAAAATATTTAATAGCCTTATCATAGAAGAAAAAAAAAAAAAAAAAAAAAAAAAAAAAAGACAGCCCGATGCACAGGTAGCCCACCTTCAGGTAAGTTTTGGGAAAGGGCTGCACTCTAAGAGGTGTGACGTGAATAGCTTACCCTAATGCAAATATTAGTGGTTGCTTCCACGAATCGTACCTGTGACCTCTAGATTGCTCCAAGCCTTACCCTGGAAGTATTTATCTAAATTACTATAATTTATCTCCTTAAGTATTTATCACTTAATTAACACTATACGAACTTAATAGTACGGGTGACTATATGATTTTCTAAAATGTCAAATATTTTAAAATAAATTCAATTTGCATAATGACAATAATATGGATCAAAGGTAGAGCGACGTTTTTTTTTTTTTTTTTTGCAATTTTTGAGAATTTTTACTTTTTAAAATATGATAAGGTTGTTTAAACTTTTTTTAATTAAATTTTCAGCTTGGTGGGATCACTTGCTGTGATTTTTGGATTATATGTGGTACTATGGGGAAAAGCAAAGGATAAAAAAGAGGACAATATTATAGAGGAAGAGCCAGTGAAGCAACATATTCAAGAAACAATAATTACAATTCAAGATTTTCCAGATTTCACAACTTGTAAAGTTGATTTAGAAGAACCACTTTTGACTAACAAATCAATAACCAATATTGTAGATGATAATAAATAGTGTAAAAAAAAAATTGTCATTTGTAGTCATAATTTCTCCTCAATTTATGAGCATTAATTATTGTGTTGTATGTGGTTAGTTTTTTCTTTTTTCTTCTCTGTAAAATTTGTTGAGGAATTTTGTTACTAATTTTTTGTCTCTATCAATAAAAGTGATATATATTTTCCAGCTTTGGAAGTTTAGAACTATATTTTCTTCTGGATATTGATGTTTCTTTGTACTTGATTTGATTCGTGAGCCAAAAATTGCATAATTATGTTATCATCTCACATATCTATGTACTAAAGATGCTTGATGACATTTCAATTCACAAAGTTTGTTCGAAACCTTATATTTATATTATGAAATTCACTAAATATATATTTCAAATCGTTATTAAATTCAAAACTCATAAAATTTAAATCATAAATTTACCTCTAATCGATAGACTAAATAAATATACATGCATGTGAATACTACAAAATAATGAAGACCATAGTTTTTGAAGCTTTTGATCTAATGCAAAGTTGTAATATTTTTAACAAATAGCTAACAGTATGTGACATGAAAATGACACAAGATACATGCATCTTTATCAACATATATTCAGCATCAACTTACTTTACGTCATAACACGGCTGTAATAAACAAATTAGTTAAAACAAACACATAGTACTACATAATTTATTGGTTTATTTGTTTGTTTGTATTTTGAATGTGAGAATACAAAACTCAGAAGTTTCCAAGTGGGTTGCCCCTAGGTATAAGGGATGAAAGACTTGCTAGAAAAACAATGGCCAATGGTAATGGTTCCACAATTATTTTTGGTAAGTAAACAATTTTATGTGGACTTGCAAAATTTCAAGTCAATCAGAGTTCGTTAAAATATTTCTATAAAATTAGCATGTACTAATACACATGAAAAAATGGATATAATCACAAATTCGTATTGCATGGCCACGAAGCGCCATAAACTAAACCTGAAAGTCGCCTAAAATTTTGTGAACCATCAGAAATGACCTAATGAACAATATTCATTGCTTCTCCATCGCCATGACCCATGTCGGCGGCGTGGGCTATAGCACACGAAAATCCGAGAATCGGGCGAAATTCAGGTTTTGTGGCCCTAAAATGCCAAAAAACGAGGAACGGTCATGGCGAGACGTTGATTATTGTTCCTTAGATCTTTTCTTATGGACCAACAAAATTTTAGGCGATTAGGGTCCGGTCACCCGGACCCATGCCGATGCCACGGGTTATAGCACATGAAAATCTATGAATCAGGCGGAATTTCAGTTTTATGGCCCTAAAACGCTAAAAACGAGGAATGGTCATGGTGAGGCAATGACTATTTTTCCTTAGGTCAATTTGATAGATCGGCAAAATTATAAGCGATTTCGGTACGGTCGCTCGCACCCATGCAGGGGGCATGGGCACACACGAAAATTTGGAAATATGGCGGAATTCCAGTTTTAAGACCGTAAAATGCCAAAAAACGAGAAACAATCATTGCAAGGCGATGAATATTGTTCCTTAGGTGGTTTTTAATGGGTCGGAAAAATTTTAGGCAATTCGGGTTCGGTCGTCGTACCCATTCCGACTCATTCCTATGTGGGCTATAACACATGAAAATCTGGGAATCGGTTATCATTTTTTTGTCCTAAAACACCAAAAATGAGGAACAGTCATGGCGAGGCATTGATTATTGTTCCTTAGCTCGTTTTTTATGGGCCGGCAAAATTTTAGGCGATTCGGGTCCGGGCGTATAGCACACGAAAATATGAGAATTAGGCAGAATTCTAATTTTATGGTACTAAAATGCCAAAAAACAAGAAACGATCATGACGAGACGTTGACTATTGTCATCTAGAATTCATTTCTATCTTATATACTGTAAGTATTCTTTCTTTTTTTTTTTTGTAATTCACAATATTATTAATCACCAAAGAATCAAATTACATCGTATAGTGGCCATCTCAGCCTATACACAATTCTACCCTATACTCCTATCCTTAACAACCTGATTCATCCAGTCTACACATATATCTCTTATATCCTATAAAAGCCTTTGTTGTAGGACTTCTTTAAGTTTGCCTTCAGCCCATACATTACATGTATATGCTATCTCTGTAATAATGCTCTTAGTATCTTTATGTGCTTTTTCAAAAACTCTATGGTTTCTTTCAGTCCATATACTATACAAATTTTCAGCTAGAACCATTCGCAAGAGCTGTCCTTCAACAGTTTTCTTCTTTGCTTTCTCCACAAACCATGCTGATCCCACGTTTTTATTTGTACCTGGATGTGCAGCCAGTTGAAAATTCCTGCCTATAGTTCAGTGGTGGTAGTACATTCCCAGAATAGATGCGCATGAGTCTCTGGATGATTTCCACACAGAACACATATTGGATCAACGTTAATGTTCCATTTGTTCAACCTATCAGTTGTCATCATTCTCTCTTGGATGATCAGCCACATGGAGAACAATGCTTTAGGCGTTGCTAGATTACTAAACATGATTGTTTTCCACTCAACTTTAGGTAGTGCTCCAATTTGCTGCAAGTACAGCTGCTTGATTCTGCATTTGCCATTATCCCCCTGCATCTGTGTATTTAGCCCAGCAACAGTCCTGATCTTTTGAACCATCCAACTCGCTTGCTTTGGTACTTTAACTGTATCTAAAGAGTGCCCTTTTATATAGTACATATGAATCCATTTGATCCACAATTTATCTGCCTTTGTTGCCAAGTCCCATTGCAGCTTGAGAATGGCAGCTTTGTTCCAGCTTTTGAGATTTAGGATGTTTAGCCCTCCAGCACTCTTAGGTTGGCAGACTTTGTCCCAAGATATTAATGCACGTTTGGTAATGACATTTGTTCCTGACCACATGAAGCTTCTACAGTAGGCTTCAATAAGCTTGATCACCTTGGAGGGCATCAGGAATATTTGAGACCAATAGGATTGAACTCCAAAGAGGACAGTTCTAATAAGTTGAACTCTGCCAGCATATGAGAGCTTTCGTGCAGTCCAGGATGATATTTTAGCTACTATTTTATCAATCAATGGTTGCCATTGTGTCATCTCCACTTCTTGGTAGTAAGAGGGACCCCCAAGTACTTAAATGGTAGTTCTCCTTGTACATACCCCAGCTGTTGGATGATAATATCTTGATCCACCTTGCACACTCCACCAAAATAAACTGAACTCTTGTTGAGGTTGGCTTTTAGCCCAGATGCTGTGGAGAACTGATCAAAACATTGCTTCAGCAGTGTAACTGATTGGCTATCACCTCTAGCAAACAATAACAGATTATCTGCAAAGCTCAAGTGAGTAATGCCCAGTTTCTTGCACTTTGGGTGAAAATGAAATTGCTTTTCTTTCTTCAAATCAGTGAGGAGTCTGCTTAAGTATTCCATTGCTAGAGCAAATAGAAATGGGGATATTGGATCCCCCTGTCTGAGGCCTTTAGCAACTGGGAAAGGTTCTGTAAGTTCACCATTTATCAGGATAGAGTAGCTCACACTATGCATACAGGATGATACCCATTGAGTGAATTTGTGAGGGAACCCAGACCTTCTATGACTTGTGTCACATAGCTCCATTCCACACTGTCATAAGCCTTTTGTAAATCAACCTTGATCATATATCTAGGTGATATATGCTTCCTTGAGTAGGCTTTAATCAGTTCATGCGCTAAGATGATATTATCAGCTCCCTTTCTCCCAGGAATGAATTCAGCTTGAGATCCATCAATCAAATAGTCCATTACTTTCTGCAACCTTGATGCTAAGATTTTGGAGACAATCTTATACAACACAGAGCAGCAAGAAATGGGTCTGTAGTCCTTTATGGTAGTAGGATTGGTGATTTTGGGTAGTAAAGTAACTGTTGTACAGTTCATGGCCTTAGGCATCACCCCAGTAGCAAAAAACTCCACTACTGCTTCATATACATCATCCTTGATAACTTCCCATGCTTTTTTGAAGAAGACAACATTATAACCATCAATGCCAGGAGCTTTGTCATTACCAATAGCTTGCATACATTCATTTACTTCATGTTTGGATATCTCTTTGGTCAGTTCCATTATCTGCTGATGAGTTAGTTGAGGCCCCATTTTCAGAATTTGCATGTTAACAGTTGGAAGAGTAGTAGCTGCAGTTCCCATAAGTGCCTTATAGAAGTCCACTATCTCCTTTTTGATTCTTTTAGGATCTGTTAGTACCTCACCATTCAGAGCTGTTAGTGTGTGAATATTTTTCTTGCTTGTTCTGTCTTTCATCATTGCAAAGCAATATTTGTTGTTCCCATCTCCAACATTTATCCAATGAGCTCTAGATTTCTGCTGCAGAATCTTCTCTTCAATGCTAGACCATTTTTCTAATTGAGATTTGGCATCTTTCTCCATCATTCTTAGCTGGTCAGAATAATTTCTATTCATTTCTTGCTGGTATTAAATAAGATCTCTTCTTGCTTGGTCTATCTTTTCTGTGATATTTCTGAAGCTTCTATTGTTTAAGTCCTTGAATATTGGTTTCAATGCTTCCAGCCTGTACCAAATAGTAGCTAGCTTACAATCCTTATTCTCTCCTTGCCATCTTTCCCTTACAATATTCTAAAAATCTTGATGTTCTGCCCAAACATTCAGAAACCTGAATGGTACTCTTATGCTATTATTTCTCATCTGGAATTTTAGTGTGAGGGGTGAGTGGTCTGATATAAATGGATCTCCTATTTCAACTGTTAGGTGATCAAAATTCATCATCCAGTCATCATTCGCCAAAGCTCTATCTAACCTGCTAATTACTCTATCTTCACCTATTTGCCCATTTGTCCATATAAAGTATTCTCCTCTCCAAGGAATTTCAGCCAGCATTGTGTCAGTGCAAAAGTTGGCAAAGTCTTGTATGTCAGCTTGAGTAGGAGCAACCTTTGATACTCTATCTTGGGTAGAGATGATAGCATTAAAATCCCCCCACATCAGCCATGGATAGGTAATAGTTTGTGCAAGACTTTTAAGTTTCTGCCACATCTCTTTCCTCTTCTCTAAGCTATTAAACCCATACACCACAGTCATAACACATCTGATATTAGAGCTATTGATGATGCAGTGAATGAATTGAGCATCTGTTTGGATCACATCTACTCGCCATAAATTACTGTCCACTAATAACCATATTCTCCCATTTACTGCATGATCATAGTTATGAACTAGTACCCAATTTGTTGCAATCTTAGGGGCAATAACAGAAGCTTTTTGTTGTTTCATTCTTGTCTCTACTAAAGCAGCTAAAGAAATATGATGTTCTTTGAGGTATCTAGCCAACTCCTTCTGTTTATACCTTTGGTTTGCCCCCCTCACATTCCACATGAGAGCATTCATTTAGACACCCCTGATGTACCACCTCTATCTGGTGGTTGTCTATCCCCTGGGCCTCCTGATAATACTTCTAAAGTGTTCTGTGTGATAATTGAAAAATCAGCACCACATGCATTTGTTCTGGGAGTTAAAACACTATTTTTGTCTCTCATTATACTATTCTCATGCCTTTTAGCCTGTGTCATACCTTGTGCAATATCCACTGATTTTCCAGCCATTACATTATGAGCTACTGTAGAGGCAACTTGAATTATGGGAGATACTGTTTCAACACAATTAGTATTAGGTTTAGTTAGCTCTTGAGGCTTACTTGTGTTCTGCTTTATACTGCCTTTGGTTCTCCACTCCTTTGCTGGCTGATGAGCTTTGCTGTTAACTTTCTGAGTTTTTTGAGGTCTCCCTTGGACTTCCTCATTGTTTTTGCATCTATGCCCCAACTGTTGACAGTCAGAGCAAAATTCTGGTTGCTATTCAAATCGAACCCCTTGTTTGTACATCTTTCCAGAAGGATCTTGTATTGTAACTCCAGTTGGTAGTGGCTTAGTAATTTTCACTTCAATCAACATCCTCGCAAATGAGATTCTCGACTGATTAGCTGTGCATTCATCAGCAAATAGTGGCACTCCAATAGCACTTCCCAGCCTGCTTAGAGAGTCTTTTCCCCAGTAAGCCATAGGCAAATTGGGAAATGAGACCCATAGGGGAATCTCTTTGAGAAAGGCTGTATCGAATTCAACCTCAGGAGACCATTTCTTTAGGATAATAGGTCGATTATTAATCGTGTAAGGCCCTCCATACAGGACTTCCTTGAGGTCATCTTCCTCTTTGAATTTGGCAATGAAATAGCCTTTTTCATGCCAAAACAGATCAGAGCATGAGGCTTTTGACCAATTATGAGTGATATATCGCTTCATCTGATTGTAACCTGGGATTTCTCCTAATACTGCAATAATCAATGAATGCTTCCACTTTTCAACCTCTGTTGCAGTCTCTACTGGATCTAGTTGAATAACCACATTACCATCCACAATCGTTGGGGCTATGTAAGATAGAGCAAGGCCATTGGATGTTATTCGATTGTTAGAAAACAGATTGACCCACTCCGAAGCAGTGACGTCCTTGTTAGCTTTCGATTTCTGCGGATTTTCATCTGCATGTATATTTGGTTGCAATTGAACCATAGGTGATACACTTGAAATTGAAGCTATGCATGCATCCAGACTTTTGTTCTTTCCACTGTCAGCTTTGAGCATTTTACTATACAATTCAGTTGATTGTGCCAAGTTAGTAGCAAAATCAATGGTACCTTTGTCAATCTCATAATTCACACCTGGATCTGCCATTGTTGATGGTTTCTGAGAAGTGAATTGAGCTGATGGAGATGTAGTTGTTGTTAGTGAGCTTCCGGTAACTAGAATTGGTGCCTTCCTTGGCCGTCCTGGTCCATTTCCTTTGCCCTTCGCCATTGTTAACCACCGTTCCCACCAAGCGTAACCGCCGCTTGAAGAAACCGTCAGTGGGGAGGGTTTTTTCCTTTTGTTTATTTTATTTGTGAAAATTTTGAAACTACGTTTCTAATCCAATTTTCTTATTCATATTAATCAAAGCGACAAAGGGCTGAATCTCAGTGGATCGTGGCAGCAAGGTCACTCTGCCACTTACAATACCCCGTCGTGAATGGTTTAATATACCAAATGAATGAACTGGCTCTGAACTACGAAAGGTAAAGAATAAGAATGAAAGACTTGCTAGAAAAAATCAATGGCCAATGCTAATGGTTCCACAATTTTTTTTGTAAGTAAACAATTTTATTTATCAAATGAATATTCACAAAGCATAAAAACAAAACAAGTACCTCCTGGACAACTGACCCCATGGTTGCTCTATCTCTATCCGTCAGAACTTCCAGTAGCTACCAATACACTTATTAACACTACTCCTGTGGACCTATAGGCCAATCAGAGTCCGTTAATTTTTCTTTTACAAAATTAGCATATATTAATACACATGAAAAAATAAATATAATCACAAATTCGTGTTTCATGGCCACGAAACGCCATAAAATAAAATCGAAAGTCGCCTAAAAATTTTTGGACCCATCAGAATTGACCTGATGAATAGTAGTCATTACTTCTTCATGATCGATCCTCGCTTTTAGGCGTTTTAGGGCTATATAATAGGAATTCAGCCATTGTCAAGAATTCGGACGACCGACACCAAATCGCCTAAGATTTTGTGGGACTATCAGGAACGACCTAATGAACAATAGTCATTGCTTCCCCATGATCGTTCCTCGTTTTTTGGCGTTTTAGGGCCATAAAACAGGAATTTAGCACGATTTTCGATTTTTTCATGTGCTAATGTCCACGCCATCTTCATGAATTCGGGCGCCCGGGCCCGAATTACCTAAAATTTTGTGGGTCCATCAGAAACGACCTAATGAACAATAGTTATTGCTTCTCCATGACCGTTCCTCGTTTTTGACATTTTAGGACCATAAAACAGAAATTCAGCACGATTTTCGACTTTTCGTGTGCTAATGTCCATGCCAACTTCACGAATTCGGGCGATCGACCCCGAATCGCCTAAAATTTTGTGGGTCCATCAGAAATGGCCTAATGAACAATAGTTATTGCTTCTCTATATCCGTTCCTTGCTTATCGGCGTTTTAGGATTATAAAACAAGAATTCAGCACTATTT